CTCACACAGATAATCTATCTCAGTCAACTGTGCCATGTTAATGTAACAAAACCACACGCATCATATCCCATCAAATTCACAGGTTCTGGGGATTCAAGCAGGACATATTTAGGGGAGTCATTAAAAAAATCCTGCCTACCTCAGCACTTATTCAAAAGATGAAAGGAAAGAATCTCTTACGGGGTAAGGGGACAAAGAAAGTGGGAACAAACTATCTAACCATTCACGCTAATAAGAGAAGCCAAGCATTTGAGAGGAGAGAGGTCTGACCTCATCCTTGTATTCTACCCATCATGCCTTCTGCCATTTCTAAGGTTGCTAGTTTGATCACAATACACTTCCTAACATTCACAGTACCTGGAGCTAAATCCTCAAAAATAAAAACATTTTAAAGAATGCTTGGGGACTAAAAAAATCACCTTGTATTTTAATTTTTCCCCATCAAACAGTGAGAACACCAAGCCGTCCAAGAGTGTGTCCTAAGAATTCATGTTGGAAAATGCATGATTGGGGCGCCTGGGTGGCGCAGTCGGTTGAGCGTCCGACTTCAGCCAGGTCACGATCTCGCGGTCCGTGAGTTCGAGCCCCGCGTCAGGCTCTGGGCTGATGGCTCAGAGCCTGGAGCCTGTTTCCGATTCTGTGTCTCCCTCTCTCTCTGCCCCTCCCCCGTTCATGCTCTGTCTCTCTCTGTCCCAAAAATAGATAAACGTTGAAAAAAAAAAAATTAAAAAAAAAAAAATGCATGATAATTTTAGATATGACTCAATAAAGACAATTTCTTTGCTCAAAAAGAGGATGAGGACAATATAATCTCCTCACCAGTGTGATGCTACTCCTCTCCCTTTTTCTATTTCAGAATTCAACCTGAATATTCTTTCACCTCATTTCTCTTCAAAGGATGTAAGACACAGAGCAGTCTCTAGGTTCCTGGACACCAACTTATGCTAAATTATCAGTGTTGTTCCTGAATACGTATCTCATCCTGGTGACCTGACAAAGCCTTAAATTAATAAATCCATCTGGAAAGGGAGGCTGAAACAGGGTTACTCATTATTGCTGTTTAGCATTTAGAGGATCTCCAAAGGACATCATCTTCCTCCCTAAATGGCATTCTTCCCCTGGTTCTGAAGAAATGCAAAGGACTCTTGAAAAAACTAAGGCAGGGGCGCCTGGGTGGCGCAGTCGGTTAAGTGTCCGACTTCAGCCAGGTCACGAATTCGCAGTCCGGGAGTTCGAGCCCCGCGTCGGGGTCTGGGCTGATGGCTCAGAGCCTGGAGCCTGTTTCAGATTCTGTGTCTCCCTCTCTCTCTGCCCCTCCCCCGTTCATGCTCTGTCTCTCTCTGTCCCAAAAATAAATAAACGTTGAAAAAAAAAATTAAAAAAAAATAAAATAAAATAAAAAACTAAGGCAGAAGAGGGAAGCAAGCCTCGCTATCTTCAGCATCCCTGGGTTCTCTCTCAGATGCATTATGGCTAGACTTTATAAATTTTGGATAGTCAGTTCCCTTTTCTATGCCAACCATAGAAAAGGGAGAAGCTATCTCCAAAATGCCTGTGATATGCCCTGAGGTCCATGGGGAATGAGAAAGCAAATAATAATTATATATTAAATTTTGAAGGTACCATCCTTTCCTTTTCTTGGACCTGTGTCTATGCACATAATTCCTGAGATGAACATTATTATCCCTATTCAATAGATGAGGAGAAAACTGAGGTCCTAGAAAGTTACTGGGTAGTGATCTAACATCACAGTGCCCATGGTAGAAGAGAGATTAGAACATTTCCCAATATACCTGAAACTAATTTAACACTGTGGTCCACTATACTTTAATTTTTTTATGTTTATTTATTTCTGAAGGAGAGAGAGAAAGAGCGTGAACAGGGGAGGGGCAGAGAGAGAGGGAGACACAGAATCTGAAGCAGGCTCCAGACTCTGAGCTGCCAGTACAGAGCCTGATGCGGGGCTTGAACTCACAGCCATGAGTTCATGACCTGAGCCGAAGTCATGCTTAACTGAGCCACCAAGGTGCCCCCAATATACTTTAAAAAAAGATCTGATTTCAAATCATGGGCTCTTTCTAAACTACAAGGGCAAGAATAAAACTTTCATTACAGGGGCACTTGGGTGGCTCAGTCGGTTAAGTGTCTGACTTCGGCTCAGGTCATGATCTCATGGCTCATGAGCCCCAGGTTGGGATCTGTGCTGACAGCTCAGAGCCTGGAGCCTGCTTCGGATTCTGTGTCTCTCTCTCTCTCTCTCTCTCTCTCTCTCTCTCTCTCTCTCTCCCCCTCCCCCACTCACACTCTGTCTCTCCCTCTCTCTCAAGAATAAACATTAACAATTTTTTTGAGAGAGAAAAAAAAAAAGCTTTCATTACATAATGTGATCAAAGTTGGAAAGATCTCTAGGAAATTTGCTCTTGGACCCTCTACTGAAACATAGCACTCCTCTTCTCCAGGTTATTAGTAGCTTTGGCTGCCAGCAAATTATCTCCTGGGGCTTGAAAAAGAGGTTGCCTTGACTCCTCCCGAAGAAATTTGCTTCCAAGCTTCTTGCAACACCATCTCATCATTCACCTCAGCGAGAACAAAAACACAAGGCCACTAAACCTTGAGTTCTCCAAGCACCTAAGCTGATAAGGGATTAGCTAGAATCCATCCCAAAGAAAGGGCCAAGGAGGGAAAGAAAACAGGACACTGGATGACTCAGAAAGGGATGGGCAGCGGACCGACCAGACATACAAATTCAAGACCAAAAGAAAGGTCTATTCCTCATCTCAAAATATGTAGATACCTTCCACCAACTCTTGGCTCGAGCTGTTCTGGTGAAAGCCCCACTTAGAGCCCCACAGCCCACAATAGACTTAGCTGGGAACAGTATAGCAATCTGGAAGCAAACCGTGGATAGGATCCCTCTCAACCCTTGATCACAACAGCAAAAGGACAAGGGTGAAAGATTTTGGATGACCTGCTTTCTGAGAATGTTTACTCTGGGGTTAAGTCTCTACCCTGGGCTTTAATTTTATAGTCCTCAATTAAACCAAAAGAAAAACTGTTGTGGTCGTTCACATTATCACGAAAGGACTTTAACCCAGTTACTTGAAGCGTGCATTGTGTATCTAAAAGTGTATCCAGCCTTTAGAAAATACAATTCTTGGGGCACCTGGGTGGCTCAGTTGGTTGAGCGTCCGACTTCAGCTCAGGTCACGAACTCGCGGACTGTGAGTTTGAGCCCTGCGTCAGGCTCTGTGCTGACAGCTCGGAGCCTGAAGCCTGCTTCAGATTCTGCGTGTGTGTGTCTCTCTCTCTCTGCCCCTCCCCTGCTCATGCTGTCTCTCAAAAATAAATGTTAAAAAAAATACAATTCTTTTTTTTTTTTTTTTTCGTTTTTTATTTATTTTTGGGACAGAGAGAGACAGAGCATGAACGGGGGAGGGCAGAGAGAGAGGGAGACACAGAATCGGAAACAGGCTCCAGGCTCTGAGCCATCAGCCCAGAGCCCGACGCGGGGCTCGAACTCCCGGACCGCGAGATCGTGACCTGGCTGAAGTCAGACGCTTAACCGACTGCGCCACCCAGGCGCCCCTACAATTCTTTACTTTTTACTAACCTCACTGTCCAAAGTCCCTCTTGAGGGGATTTTTAAGGGAAAAGGTTTACTTTGTTTATTCTGCCCTTTCCTTCGTGCTTGGGAAAATAAGTCACTGGCAACACTGGGCTTGGGGAGTCCCACAAGATCGAGTATGGTAGTCTGACACCCTGATTAGATGTGATCCTTGCTCTAGCTCCAGCTCAGCTACTGAATGTTCCTGAGAATCCTTTGACTTTTCAAAGTCTCAGTTTCCTCATTTTTGAAGTGAGGTGGATGGGTGAGATGACCAAGTAAAAAATTTGACAAAGATATTACTGAGAGGGGTGCCTGGGTGACTCAGTCCGCTATGCATTTGACTTTGGCGCAGGTCATGATCTCACATGAGTTCAATCCCTGCATTGGGCTCTACACTGACAGCTCAAGAGCTTGGAGCCTGCTTCGGATTTTGTCTCCCTCTTCCTCTGCCTCTCCCTCGCTCGTGCTCTCTCTCAAAAATAAACAAACATTAAAAAAAAATATATTGCTGAGATACATCGTGCTAAATACTATTAGGGATACAAAATGAACATGACATAGTCCCTTAAAAAAACCGATAGTCTAACTTGGAAGATAAAGGACACACATGTACATAGCAAATCCACAATTTACACAGACCCTAAGCATTATAAAGGATACAACATGATCTACAGTCCTTTATTTGAGTTAATGCTCATTTGACTGATGGTAGATGGAAACCAGATGAAAGTTTCATGGAGTAAGAGGTAGCATTTAAACTCAGTCTTTAAAGACAACAGTTTGAAAAAGAGGAAAGTGAGCAAAGATTCAGGAAAAAGAAAGCAGAGATGGCCAAAGGGCAAGGCATGAAGATAAGGACAGGAAAGAGGGAAAGTATTTAAAAAATGACAATACCACTTTGGGTAGAGTATGGGAATAATAAAAGATAAAGCCAAGAAAGCTGAGGGCAGACTGTTATTGAATTGGTAAATGACAAAAACTAGTCTTATACTTAAGAATTAACCTGGCAGTGGTGGGCAGAAGTAAATGCTAGAGGGAAGAGACTGGAGGCAGAAGGCCAGTTAAAAGGTTACTGCAATAGACCAAGTGGGTGGCAAGGAGGCCCTGAGCCAGGATAGTAGCAGTGGCAACAGAGAGCCCATTAGTCAAAATGTTAAGCCACTGCTGTTCGTTTCTACTGACCCAGTCCTCCAAGGTAACAGGCCATCCCCGGTGAAAATTATTAAAAAAGGAGTGCTAATTTGAATAAAGCTTTCCTGACACAGAGAATAAAGAACAAATGAGCCCAGACTCCTGGTGAACTTAGAACTGTCACCACCCTCCAGGCCTTACACTCTCACCAAGGCACTCAGCCAACTAAGGAGAACAAATATACACAGGAGACACAAGAAAAGATCTTATTAATACAGTATTTATTTGTCTTCCCTCTGTCAAACCCTGAGCCAACCACTTTCCCCAGGCTGCCTGGGGAGGTACAGGAAAAGGAACATACAGGGCAGACGTGACACGGGAAAAAGACCTATGGGAGGTGGAGACGGCTCCTTCACATGGCGAAGAGGATGAGAAAGGCCACCATCAGGCAAAATAGCCCCATGGCCTCCGAGAGGGCAAAGCCCAGAATGGCGTAGGAGAAGAGCTGCTGCTTCAGAGAGGGGTTCCTGGGAGAAGGGGAGGAGAAAAGACTGAATTTCTAGTCCACACAAAGAAAAAGATAAACATCAAAGGTGGGCTCGGGGAAAATTCATCTCCTCAAGCTCATCTTATGTAATGAGTCTCTCATGGTGGCACCATCAGGCCCTAATTCCTGCCGGATCCATCAAGGGCTCTACAGAGACTGAATGTTGGGAGTGGACAATCCAAAATTCTTTAACATGGCCCAGGTACAAACATAACCTCCTCTAGTGGATCACCCATAGCATAACTTATGGCCTCTGGGCCTGGACCTTTAACTATCCAGGGCTCAACCAGGATGGAACAGGTATCCAGAGTGGCAGAATCTATCAGAGCACTGCTCTGAAACTTGAAGGAGCAGAACCCCAAATAAAAAAATGTATAAAAGCCGAACTACAATGTTAAAAAAGTGGGGGATTTTAAAGGCTTGGTCTCCTCTTTATTCTTTAGATGGTCTTTGGGTATACTTCAGAACTCTATGGCCTGATGAAACACAACCAGAAAAACCCTCTACAATGGGGTTTTTCTAGTGGTGTTCCATAAAGCCAGGGGACACACTACCTTCTTTCACTTCAAATTAGTTAAAGATTTTGGGCTTTAAGAAATGCGGGGGGAAGGGGGGGGTGCCTGTGTGGCTCAATCGGTTGAGTGTCTTGACTCTTGATTTCGGTCATGATCTCACGGTTGGTGGGACTGAACCCGGAGTCCAGCTCTGTGCTGCTGGTGTGGAGCCCACATGGGATTCTCTCCCTCTCTGTCCCTCCCCTGCTTGTGTGTGCACATACGCTCTCTCTCAAAATAAACTTCAAAAAAAAAAAAAACAAAAAAAAAACCCCACAAATCGTCTGTGGGGTTTGGATTATGAGTCAAAATGGGATAAAGGTAAGTCTTCCAACTTTGAAAGTCAATATATAATTTCTATTTCCCTTACTCTGTCACCTCTGGAAGCCTTGACGGATAAGGTAAAGCAACGCCAGCTTTTAACAGGACTGTGGATGCAGAAGCAGTCAGGCTTCCTGTTTCATATACATCCTAAAATAAACCTATTTCCTCAAAGGCATTAAGAGAACTTGCAGGTCTCTAGAGGATTAATTTAGTTCTAACAGTGAGTTGCCAGGGGTTGGGGGGGACTAAACAGTCCCAAGTGTCAGGAAACTGTGGGGCTGGCTGCAAAGGCAGTTCTCCCAGGAGTGATGGGGGGGGGGGGGGGGGGCGGGGGGCGGGAATTCCCAGGGATGGGGAAAAACAGTAAAGAAACCACTATGCTGACTTGAGGCTCTAGATCAGTGGTAGCCAACTTTCTCCGTAAAGAGCTAGATAGTAAATGTTTTAGATGCTGTGGGTCACATACGGTCTCTTTTTCATGACCTTTTAAAAATGTTAAACCCATTCTTTTTTTTTTTTCAACGTTTTATTATTTATTTTTGGGACAGAGAGAGACAGAGCATGAACGGGGGAGGGGCAGAGAGAGAGGGAGACACAGAATCGGAAACAGGCTCCAGGCTCTGAGCCATCAGCCCAGAGCCTGATGCGGGGCTCGAACTCCCGGACCGCGAGATCGTGACCTGGCTGAAGTCAGACGCTTAACCGACTGCGCCACCCAGGCGCCCCGACCCATTCTTAGCTCAGCTATACAAAAAACAGGCGGTGGCTCGATATGGCCCTCCACCTCAGTTTGCTGACTCCTACTCTAAACCAAAGCTTTTCAATGGAATTTTCCAATATGGTAGCCACTAGTCACACGTGGCCACCTAGCCACATTATAAGTACACAAAATTTAAACTTTGTGTACTTTTAGTTAATTAAATTTTTATTTATTTTTACGTAACATCTGTGCCCAATATGGGGCTCGAACTCGTGACCTGAGATGAAGAGTCACATGTCCTACTGACTGAGCCAGCCAGGTGCCCCTAGTTAACTAAAATTTGAACTCAAGTTCATGTGGCTACTGTATAGGACATATAGCTCAAGATCCCCAGATATTTCTGCCCAGACCTCTGGAAACAGAGAGCCAATTGAGGGCCCAGCTTACCTGGCATAACCAATGATGAGGCTCCCAAACACAGTCCCGATTCCAGCCCCAGAACCAGCCACCCCAACTGTGGCAGCCCCAGCCCCAATGAACTTGGCTGCTGTGTCGATGTCCCTTGAAGCAGTGCTGGTTTGGAAACCGCGGCTAGGAATAAGTGAGGTCAGGGGACGTGGGGCTGCCCAGCTGCTGAGGCTCTGTGAAGAAGATGCAGGTAGAGGATAAAGATTTTAAGAAATCCCTTTTTTGTTTCAGAAAGTTTTGAACCATTTAAACCCTTTATGCTACCACATTCCATGGCTTCTCCCCCAAACAGAAAAACTTTTAACTCCCTGGAAAATCTCCTAACATGCTGCCAAGCAGAACTCTTTGATCAAAGAGGTAGACATCAAATACCTTCAAAATTCAGGTGTGCTCTAGAAGTGTAAGACTGAAGGCCTAGCCTGTTCTTGGTGCCCTGAAATCATCGTCTTCCTGGGACCAACTGCCACCAAATGAAGTCAGTAAACCAGGTCACATAATGGTAGTTATCAGCAGCACACATGGGCATGCAATGCCAGTGGCAAAAACTGGAACACTAGATCATATGTGGTATCAACTGTCCTCCACCCTCACCTAAAGCCAATGGCCTTGATCCTTCACTAACTTTAGTCTGTGATGATCGTCCTCAGCACTCCCCCTACTGGTGCTGCCAGGTAACCCTCTTCCCCCCTCACCCCCAACCACAGGCCCAATTTCCACCTTAGAAGGTACCTCATCTGTCAGTGTCTCTGGTGGTTTTAGTGCCACTGCAGACAGTGATCGGCTCAACAGCTGAGAGGTGCTCCTGACCTAGGGGGAATGACATAAGGGCAAGAGGGTCAAGGATGGCTGTGGAGGAATTTCAGAACCACCCCAAGTTGTTTCGTGGATGCCCCATTCATTCTCTTGATCTTCGATCATTCTTTTACTTCCAGTAAATTTTAGACTCAAGAACCAAACCAGTTCTCTTGCTTCTTAGGCTTCTCCTTTGTTTTAAGGGAAGAAACGTACTTCCTTTCGGGCTATGAGGTATTACCCACTCTCCCCATACCCCCTTTTTTTTTTTAATTTTTTTTTTCAACGTTTATTTATTTTTGGGACAGAGAGAGACAGAGCATGAACGGGGGAGGGGCAGAGAGAGAGGGAGACACAGAATCGGAAACAGGCTCCAGACTCTGAGCCATCAGCCCAGAGCCCGACGCGGGGCTCGAACTCACGGACCGCGAGATCGTGACCTGGCTGAAGTCGGACGCTTTAACCGACTGCGCCACCCAGGCGCCCCGCCATACCCTTTTACAGGCCTCTAGAACAGGAAGAAATCTAAGCCTCAGATGCATTTGCTTCACTCAGTGAGAGAGATATATTTTGGTAATGGCCAACCCATAAGAGGGAAGCCAATGATTAGGGGAGCATTTTTCCCTAGACACATCCTTCAGGAAAATAGGCACAAAGATCCACGTTCAAAATCCACCCCTTCTCGTAGCCTTTTCTGACGAACCCCAAACCAAAGCAGACAACATGGTAGTTAAGAGCCAGGGTTTTAATCAGACAGATCTAGATTCTAATCTTAGCTTTACTTCAGCTGTGTGATCTTAGGACAAGTCACTTAAATCTTTCTAAGCCTGCTTTCTCTTCTACCAAATTGGAATGCTGTACCTCAGGGTTGATTTGAGGAATAAATGAGATTATGTATACAAACTGGTAAACTCAGGTGCTCAATCAATGGTTACCCCCCCCAATAATATTATCACTCCTTTTCACTTACAGATGTATAAACCAATTGCCTCCACCATCTAATAATCTATAAATTCTTCCATGCCGTTGCTTGTTAAGTCAAAATATTTTTCCAACGTGTATTTCCGTGTGTTTCAACTTGCCACCCAAATTGAAGCTTCCGGAGGGAACTCCCAGGTATGACTCTGACACTCAGCGCAAGATCCTGAACACAGCGTGTACTCGGTCCAAGTTAGGCTACCTACTTCATGCTTACCATTCCTGGCAGGGTTCCAGTTTACAGGCACACAGAGTTTCAAGATAGGAATAACCTGACCTTACTCGAGATTCTCATCTGCACTCTTCTAACATAGTTGGATGAAAAGAATTAACTGGCCTCCAAGGGATCGGAGACAGGGGTGCCTGGTAAGCATTCACTCTCTGCTGTCAGGCTAACGCGGCAAAGGACCTTCCCTCAACCTAGCTGTGAAGAGCAACGTGTGGCAAGGAAGAAACACGATGCCCCTCTTCAAAAACTTTCCCAGAAAAGGCAAGCACTCACCAAGAAGGGGGAGGAGACGAACTTTGCACAGGTATACATTTTCAGGGGATGAGGGGCTGTGGCAGGAGAGCTGGAATTACAAAAGTAGCGCTGTAAATATTGTCCTTGTTCATCAAAGGGTATCTTTTTTTTTTTTTTTTTTAACATTTGTTTTTGAGAGACAGAGAGAGACAGAGCATGAGTGGGGGAGGAACAGAGAGAAAGGGAGACACAGAATCCGGAACAGGCTCCAGGCTCCGAGCTGTCAGCACAGAGCCTGACGCGGTGCTCGAACCCACGAACTGTGAGATCGTGACCTGAGCCGAAGTCAGACGCTTAACTGACTGTGCCACCCAGGCGCTCCAAAGGATATCCTTAATAGCAGAAAAGGTGCTGTTAAATTTACATGGCCCAAACAGCACAGTAAATGACCTCAAGTCATCAGCAGAGACGGAATTAAAACCCTGAAGTCAAGGGACACCTGGCTGGCTCAGTCAGTTAAGTGTCTGACTCTTAGGTCATAATCTCACGGTTCATGGGTTTGAGCTCTTGCATCAGGCTCTGCACTGACAGTGCAGAGCCTGCTTGAGAGTTTCTCTCTCTGCCCCAATATCCCCGTGTGCACATGTGCACACACACTCTCAGAATAAATAAACTTAAAAAATAAAACCTTAAAGTCAAGATTTCCTCCACACAGCTTCCAAGATTTCCTTATAATCAAGTGACTCCCCCTAGTCTGAACAAGCAGCCACCTGGTCTCAGCTTTGTTATTCATTTCTATAGCTTCACGAGTTGTGGTCAGAGGAAGTTCCCGTGTCTTCTGCCTAAATTTTCCTTACTCTCTCTAAAAGGAACTCTTCTCAAGACTTCATTGTCTGGGACTAAAACTGCTGCCCTTTAAGGACTCTTGGGAGATAGTTGTTGGTGGCTAAGACCCTGGAAGGATCTCCAAAAATCTTTTTACTGAAATCCCTGGAAGTTATTGGACTCCTCAAAAGACTTCCATTTCCTACATTAAGTAAAAGGGCGAGGCAGGCCCAGGAAGAATCCTGCCTTTACTCTAATTAGCCACGACTGTTAACGTATTCATTTGCACCATCACAGTAAGAGGCATTCTATTTTGTATGCTGAAGACCTAAAACAGAGCTGACACCCTGTAGGTGCCTAAGTTAGTAGAAATTATCTGAGAGAGGAGTGGGTGGGTTAAAGACCTACAAAAAAGAATTTCTTCAACGTTCATGTGAACTAGTTACCTAAAGGGAGGGATGGTATATGTATTAAAAAATGCATTTTCGGGGCGCCTGGGTGGCGCAGTTGATTAAGCGTCCGACTTCAGCCAGGTCACGATCTCGCGGTCCCGGAGTTCGAGCCCTGCGTCAGGCTCTGGGCTGATGGCTCAGAGCCTGGAGCCTGTTTCTGATTCTGTGTCTCCCTCTCTCTCTGCCCCTCCCCTGTTCATGCTCTGTCTCTCTCTGTCCCAAAAATAAATAAACGTTGAAAAAAAATTAAAAAAAAAAATGCATTTAAAAAAAAAAATACATATTCGGGTGCCACTTTAGACCTTCCTGGACAAGCTCTCTGGTGATAAGGCCCAAGTATCCTATATTTCAAACAAGCTTCTCAAGTGGTACACTGTGCTTCTCAAAGCACAGTCTTTTTTTTGTTTTGTGACCTTTATTTATTTTTGAGAGAGAGCACAAACAGGGGAGGGGCAGAGAGGGAGACACAGAATCCGAAGCAGGCTCCAGGCTCTGAGCTGTCAGCACAGAGCCCGACGTAGGACTCGAACCCATGAACCACAAGATCATGACCTGAGTCAAAGTCTGATGCTTAACTGACTGAGCCACTCAGGCACCCCAAGAGCACATTCTTAAAATCAGTCCTGAAATGATGGTGGTGGTAGATCCAGGACTTGAAATCTCACACTTAATACTTAATATGCTATAAGTTGAAATACTCAGGATTACTTAAACCTGTTAAAGGACACTTCCTTAAAGGAGTTGTACTCAATATTTTCCCAGGTTACACCTCTGAATCCAGAATCTTAGTCACTTTTGGATTAATCCATGCCTTCAACTCTTGTCCCCTGTCTTAAACTGCCCATAAGTTAACTCTCACCCAATTCTGCTGCAGACTGTAAAGGTTTTCTTGGGTCAAAATCCAAAATTTCCCTAATATTTTAAAAAAGAAGGGCTCCTGGGTGGCTCAGCCATTTAAGTGTCTGACTCTTGATTTCGGCGCAGGTCATGAGCTCGCGGTTGGTGAGATCCAGGCCCACATCAGGCTCTGAGCTGACGGCATGGAGCTTGCTTGAGATTCTCTCTCCCTCTCTCTCAAAAAAATAAACAGAGAAGAGAAGAGAAGAGAAGAAAAGGAGGAGTAAAGCACCTGGCTGGTTCAGTCAATAGGGCATGTCATTCCTGAGTTCAAGCCCCAAGTTGGGCATAGAGCTTACTTAAAAAATAATAAACAAGTAAATAGTTTTTTCCCCCAAGGCAATTAAACCTCAATATTATCATTTATAAAATATAGCTGGGGGGGGGTAAATAACGTGCAAACAGCTGAAAGTAGTGCTGACGTGTTACAAGTCCACAACAAAAGGTGGCAATTAAGGGAGCCCTGCGCAAAGTACAGATGCCTCCACTGGCCACCTAACCAGGCAAGTCTGGACCTGTTAGCTTAGGACACCTCGGACCACAGCCTCATCCAGAATCAGCGGGCCTACATCATGAGTTTATTCCTTCGTGTAGATCAGCCGAATTAGGGGGCTGCTGACTTACCCATTCCCTTCCTTAAACCTTCTTTTCCTCTTGAGAGCAGGGCCAGGGGACTCTTGGTAGACCCTTGACAGGAAAGCTGGCCGGTGAAGACCATCCCAGGCTGCCCCACACGACTCTCTTGGGCCTGCTGCCTCTAACAGAAAACCTCGCTATTAGCCCACCACTTCTGTTTCCTCCAACTTCACTGGAGTGGAAGGAGGAGAAACTGGGAGACAGCCAATGGTTTCAAAGAAACCGGCCTCTTTCCTGCCATAGGTCTCCCCAGGGCACAGCCTGAACGGAGAAGGTGTTTTGGCTGTTTTGTTCTACCACGTTCACGTTTACTTTTAAAACAGACTATCTGCTCTCTCCATTGCTCGTGGCATCTGAAGTCCTGGGGCCAAGTCTTGGCAGTTGCTGGGTAAGAATGGAACGAGTCAGAAAGCGAAGGCAAAGCAATAAAAAGGAGGAGAGAGCCGGAGGTTTGTGACAACTCTAAACAGTCTAGAGGGTGAGACGAGAGCGTCTGCAAGGGTCGAGAGGAAAAGGTGAAAACGAGCCCTCTGGGATTGGACTTTCGCCGGCTCCAAGGCGGTCTTCCCTCCCCCCTCCCACGAGACATCCAAGATGGCGCCAGGCCCGCGCGGTTGGAGGTCACGGCACGCGGAAGGGGCAGCCCTAAGGCGCGGGAGTACCAGGCCCAAGGGAGGGCTTCAGGGCCAGGGTGGGAGCATGCAAGGTAAGGACCTCAAAGGACTCGTGCGCGGTGGGGTGTCCCGCGCGCGTGCGCGGCGCATCGCGGGCGCGAGGGCCCAAGGCCTTACCTGCTCCCAGTTCACAGAAGACAGAGAGGGGCGGGGGGAGGGCGGGAAGAGCGAAAGGAAGGCTCGGCGCAGGCGCGGCCTGAACCAACGAGTCGTTCTTCTAAGGATAGAAAAATCGCAGCGTTGAGGGTCGGCCCAGGCGCCACAGCGCCGCCTGCCAGCTTTGTGGCCGCATTCGGCCAGTCGCTCCACCTGGTGTTTGAGAGGATAAACTGCAGGCGGAGCCGACCCTCTACAGAAATGAGGACAAGTGCAGTGGAAACGGATCTGTAACGTGGCCGGCGGTTTGGTCGACTCGGCGTTTGGGATCTTGGGACTCACGTCCCCGTACCCAGCATGTGCAGTCACATTGTCAGCCCCGCCCACACCAGAAATTCAGTGTTAAATCACAAACACCGGGTTTGGGGTTCGGTGCCCAAATGTGGCAGAAGGAAAATGAAGTCATGGGACTCCTGTCTTCTGTCGCCCAGGGACCCTGACTTTATGGATGGGAAACCCGTTCCGTGGGCGAATAGTCAGCAAAGTGCCCCAGCTGCCTGTGGCCGCCCCGCCTTTATTTTCCTCTCTGTCTTTCTTACTCTAGCGATCAGCCGTGAGGAAACCAGCGTCATCGAACGAGAAGATAGGGGCTAATGATGATTGTGACTCAGGCGTCCTGACACTAAGCCTTCTCTCCGGAGTCCTGAGACAGTCAAGGAATAGTAGGCACCAGGGACCTGTAGTGAGGCTGTGAGGTCACTGCAGGCATGCCCGGGCCTGTGCCCAGGCTCCATCCGTGGGAGTTAAGCAGTTCCCCATGAGGTGCTCTCATGGAAGCCTCTCCGCTTCTCCCTTGTGCCCTTTTGCTCTTCCTTTCCAAAATAAATTGGGGGTGGGGGGAAGCTCCGGCCCTCATCGCTTCTTCTAGGCCTCTTGGTCTCGGGAGACAGGTTCTGAGCAGCCCCCTTGGAAGGAGGGCAGCAGGGCCTACCCACTTTTCCTCATGCCCAAACCCCAGCTACCCAGGCATCGCGCTTGAATGCAGCACGAGAAGGACGGGGAAAGCTCACCAAACCCCCATAAAAAATAAAAAATAAAAAGAGAGCCGCGGCTGTAAATAAAGCCAAATCCGCCACCCTCTGAGGGGCCGTTTGTCCTCCCCTCCTTGGCCCCGTCCTTCCCGCCGCCCCCTCCCGGCTCCCGGGCCCCGCGGCGCCCCGGCCCCGAGCTCCTCCATTTAATCGGATTTGGGAGAAGGGGAGGATAAATCACGGCAGCAGCTTTACGGTCCCGGAGGAGAGGCGAGCCGCAGCCAGGCACACCCCGGCCGGCGATAAAAACCGCCGCTGAAAGCCCACGGAGCAATTTCCCGGGACCCCGAGCGACGCCATTACAGGAATGTAATTTTGCCCGGATGAGGCCCCGAGTTTAATTATCCTCGCGGAGGAATTTCAATGCGGCCAATCCATCTTGCAGGCGGGCGGCAGAGGGATTTATATGGGCCCGTTATTTCACACCGATCCTCCATCTGCATTTTTATGGCCCTGAGCTCCTGAAAGGGAGGGGAAAGAGTGGGGAGAAATCGGAGACGCGGGCGAGGAGAGAAGGGTGGGGGACTTCCCGCCTTTCCTAAACCCACGATTCCAGCTCGGGCGAGGATTCTCCCTGGTTGCCCTGCGATTCCCCAATATCCCTTCCGTTCCAGTTGTTGACTCGGGGTGGAAAGGGGGTGGGGGTAGGTGAAGAATGGAGCTGGGGAACGTTGGGAGTCAATCAACAGGTATTTACCAAGTACCAATTGGTGCCAGGCACGGTGTCAGATGCTGCGAGCAGGGAGGGAAGCGGGGCCGGCCAGGATCTCCCCTGAAGTCCCCAGACACCCCCCGCCCCCCCGCCCATCCTGAATTCCTTTCAGCTCTCAGCTTCACAGCCTCCCAGGCAAAAAGTCCTCCGTCCTCAGGAGCCGCCACCACCGAACGGTTGTTGCAGCTGTTTGTTGCGACAATTCAGACCCTTCTCGGATATCGCCGACAATCCCAAAGCGGGATTGGGACCAAGGGGCCCACGAGGAACCTAAGCTGGCTCCTCCCGCAAGCTGTTAGAGCCTGCAATGTTTAATTCTCCCCTACCCTCGTTCAGTGGTGGGCTCTGGATTCACGCAAACCTGGGTTTCCAAGCCACTGTGATCTTGGGCAAGCTGTTTAACCCCTCTAAATCGATTTCTTCCTCTGCAGATTTGGAATAATAATAGTGCTTACCCCAGAGCAAATATTGGGATAATAGATGTGAAGCTTTTAGCAAGGTGCTTGGAACTCAGTAAGAGGTCAATACATGACAGTAACAATAATAATAGTTATTGTTATTGTTATTATCATTAGAGTTGGGAGCATTGCAACTCAATTCTGCACTGCTCCCTGGAGACTCGATTGCAAGGTCCCTTCAATGACATCTCCTGAGACTCAACTTATCACTTACTGAACTTTTCCACCCTCATAAATCATGCAAAACAAGTTATTTGACAGGTAGGTGGATGGAGAGATCTGTGGGGAGGGCCAAGTATTCGGGAGGCTATTGCTATCAGGCCTGAAGTCAGAAATTCAATCAGTAGGGAAACAGACTATGTAAAACGGTTGAGCTACGTGAGGGAAGAGTGAATTTGAAGACCACGAAAGAGAACGTTAGCGAAGGTCGAGGGATCTTCTTAATCCAGGGCTTGGGAAAGGGTCCTTCTTCCACTTCAGTGAGGGAAAACTAGGATCCAGGAAGGAAAGGGTGTGGAGCCAGACTGTCCTTTCCAATCAATCCCTTTCTTTTCCTACCAGACCATGTAACAAGGTTGGCCTGATTGGCCAGTTTTTCTAATGACTGTTAGTGGCACATTCTGACTGGTTAGCAGCCTCCCTGCACAGTGGTGACGAAAAAATGAGATTGATCTTTTCTTTCTTAGGATTGGTTAACAGCCCTCAGGGGGGCCAGAGACTCATTTTAATTGACTAGCGAGGCTAGGAGGGAGGTCCAGCACCTCTCACATGGAAATTCTGGGTGTTCTTTTCCACAAAGGTCACCAAGAACGAGTCTTGATTGGCTTATGCATGTTTGCCTTCGGACGGGAGACACAATAGCTCCGAGAAGAAAAATCAAAAGGATCTCGCAAGGCATGCCACAGTTCAGTTTGAAACCCCAAACAGAAAGATGGATTCACAGAGAGAAGCATAAGACGGATAAAAAGAGAGAGAGAGTAGGACACAGAGAAATGCAAAGAAAAAAAAATTGCCAGAGAGAAGAGGAAGTGTTTGAATAATTTATTTTTCGCTTCTGAAGGCTAGGATGAGGCTACTTTATGATGCGTGTTGCTAGATGCACATGTCACCGGCACGTGGCACAGAAAGAACAGCTGTCTTGGGAGCAGGAGACTGGGAGTCTAGTCCCAGCCTTACCACTAACTAGGTGAATAACTTTGCAAGTTACTTCATCTCTCAAAACTCTAATTTCCTCACTTGGAAAAATCAGGGAGAAAAGTAGGTGGTTTCTGAAGCTCTCTCCAGTGTTAGCTTTCTAGGATATTCTCTCATTCTGTTAAACAGGCACTTTTGTACAAGTTGAAAGGGCTACCTTTGTATTACCAATCAGGACTATTCTTTGTTTTTTGTTTTGTTTTTTGTTTGTTTTTAGTTTATTTATTTTTTTTTTTTTAGTAATCTCTACATCCAGTGTGGAGATTACTCACAAGCCCAAGACCAAGAGTTGCATGCTATTCTCGACTGAGCAACCCAGGCACCCCCAACAAGGACTATTCTTTTTATTTATTTATTTATTTTTAACCTTTACTTATTTTTGAGAGACAGAGGGAGGCAGAGCACAAAGAGAGAGGGAGACACAGAATCCGAAGCAGGCTCCAGGCTCTGAACTGTCAGCACAGAGCCCGACGCTGTGCTTGAACCCATGAACTGTGAGATAATAACCTGAGCCAAAGTCAAGACGTTTAATCTGTTAAGCCACCCAGGCGCCCCCCCAACAAGGACTATTCTTAAGTCTTGAACCCTTCTATTTGCGATTGTTAATTTCAAGCTCCTGGGGCCAGTGGGTGCTGACTGATGGATTTCCTATTTTCTCATGCCAAATCAGTTCCCCAGGATAGCAGGTGGTGAGCCATCAGTAAACCTCCCTATTCGTGGAGGAAGAAAACAATAGATGGAAGGAGGGAAAGAATCAGTAGTATCCGGGCTTCTGAGGGAGGGGCCAGTGGGACAGTTGGTGGCAGAAGGACAGCCAAACAAATTTTGAAGTTCCTTTGAATTTGTATGATGAATTTGTACAGGTCCTACATATTTATCTAGAAGCCATGATTAAGTATCTATGTAAACATAGATTTGGTGCTTGCCGTCTGGTGGCTCCTAAGCCAAGGAACACACACAGACAAAACAGAAAATAAAAGTCACTGTGATGTAATGTGAAGACCTAAGGACACAAACCAGAGATCTGAATCTAAATTTTGTAATACTACTAATTAGTCATATAACTTTGAGAAAAATCACTTCACCTCTCTGGACTTCAGCTTTCCCAGCTGAAACGTGTGGGAGAGCCCTAGATGATAATTAAGTTCTTTTTTCAGCTTTAAATGTAAATAGCATAGCTTTGTCCTTTCTGGGTTGCCCTTGTCTCCTGTGACTTCAAATAAGCAATCAATGTTTACTGAGCATCTACTACGTGAAAGGTATTGTGCTTCGTGGTGTGAGTGGGAATAAAACCAGTGTGAATGGGAATAAAAACAGTGTGAATGGGAACAAAAATAATGGGAATAAAAATAAAAATAAAGAGGGGGTGCCTGGTGGCTCAGTCAGCTAAGCGGCCAACTTCAGCTCAGGTCATGATCTCACTGTTTGTGAGTATGAGCCCCACTTCGAGCTTTCTGCTGACAGCTTGGAGCCTGGAGCCCACTTCCAATTCTGTGTGTGTGTCTCTCTCTGCCCCTCCCCTGCTCACTCTCTCTCCCAAAACTGCATAAAAGATAAAAAAAATTTTTTTAAGACAAAAAATTATCTTCGTAAATTTATAATCAATAAGAAAGACCTATGCACATATAGCTATGATATGCAACAAGATTTAATAGGTTATTTGGGCAACTGATGTTGAGGAGGCAGTATGAGTTCCAGCTAGAATGAGCAAGGGGACACCATGATTAAAATAGGTTTTTTTTCTTTTAAGAAAGTATGAAATATTTGAATCACATGAAAGAATGCAAGTAACATATAGGATTTACTCAACAGATATTTGTTGATATCCTATGTTCCAGGCACCGTGCTAGGTGCCTGAAACATAGACATGCATGGTGCCTGAAACATAGACATGAGCAAAATAAGACAAAAATCCTTGTTTTCCATGGGGTGCCTGGCTGGCTCAGTCAGTAGAGCCTGTGACTCTTGATCTTGGGGTTGAGTTTGAGCCCCACATTGGGGGTAGAGATTATTTAAAAGAAAAGAAAAATATTACCAATGCCACCGAGAGGCCCCACATACTCCTCTCTTATAGTAGCCCCCAAATTTTATGTTTATCATTGCAAGATTTGTCTTCATATTTTTGCCATATATTGTTTATTTTGGCTCCCCTCTTTTTATTTTGTTACCATGCTAAGAATGATATAATATTGTTTGTAGACTCCCTTTGCTCGCCCTTTTCATTCAACGTTATCTTTCTAAGATTCATCCACGTTGACATAGATAGCTGTAGTTCATCCATTTTCATCGATGTGTAATAACCCACTCATTTTTTGCTCAATTTCCCTGTTGATGAGTATTTAGGTGTGTTTCTAGCTTTTTGCCATTACGAACAATACTGCTCAGAACATTTCTGTACGTGTCTCCTGATATACGTGAGCAAGAGTTTCTGCATAAAGGGAATTGTTAGGTTGTACGATATGAACTTTTCCAGATAATGTCAAATTGCTTTCCAGTATTTATGCCCACCAAAGCATCTGAGTTTTGGTTGCTGCCTTATCCTTACCAACTTTGGTATTTAGCTAATCTGTTGGATATAAAATGATATTTCACAGTGGTTTAAATTTATACTTGCCTGATTATTTAAAAAAAAATTTTTTTTAACGTTTATTTATTTTTGAGACAGGGAGAGACAGCATGAATGGGGGAGGGTCAGAGAAAGAGGGAGACACAGACTTTGAAACAGGCTCCAGGCTCTGAGCTGTCAGCACAGAGCCCGATGTGGGGCTTGAACTCACAGACCGCGAGATCATGACCTGAGCTGAAGTCGGATGCTTAACCGACTGAGCCACCCAGGCGCCCCTATACTTTCCTTATTATTAATGAGGTTGAGCATCTTTTCATATATTTATTGACCACTCATGTTTCTTCTTCTGTGAAATGCCTATTCATGTATGTCCTTTGCCCATTTTCCTACTGGGATATTTGTCATCTCCCTATTGATTTTTAGGAATTAACAAAATACGTATAGCCTAGTACTGATCTTTCATCAGTGGTCGCTATCTGCTTCCAGTTTGTAGAGGGCTTGGCATTTTAGTAAAGGCTTAAAGGATGGATGGTTTCAGTTCCAGCTCAGAGTCCTCATTTAGTTGGATTAATTAATTCTTAATTCATTCATCAAATATTTATTGAATGTGTAGCCAGACATCATGCTGGATCGTGAGAATACAAATATATCCCACATTTGCTCATTCCTTACCACTTCCAAAATCTAGTGGGGTCCAAGCCACTGACAGCTCTTGCTGGACCATTACAATAGGTTCCTAGCTGGTCTCCCGGATTCCGACTGGTTTTGCCCCAATCTACTCTCCACACAGTAAATAACTAAAGTGATCTTTTAAAATGTAGATCAGATAATGCAACTTAAAACCTCCCAATAGTTTTCCAGGGCTCATAGAAAAAATTCCAGGGTTCAGCTTG